ATTACTCCCTGAAGTGACACCTAAAAGGGGTGTTTTTTGAAGCGTACCAAAAACGCGCAGTTTCCAGGAGTCAGATTGCACCTGGAATCAGACACTTCCTAGAGTATTATGACTCTGATTTGGGGTGTATTTTTATTCCATAAGGCGTATGATTCCGGGAATCATTTGACGCCGTACGGTATAAAAATACGCCCTCAACCAGTGTCATAATACCCTAGAAAGTGTCTGATTCCGGGTGTAATCGGACTCCAGAAAACTGCGCGTTTTTGGTACGCTTCAAAAAACACCCCTTTTAGGTGTCATTATTTTTTTTCAGTGTAGACGTAATGAGCTGTGCGTGTGTTTATTGTCGTGTTTAAGTTTTGTTGGTGTGTGAAAAGTGTACTATGCAATACCTTGCGTGACACGATTGCATTTGATACATGCCTCAGACACCACTGAAGCACGCACGTCCATTTAGTTAGGGAGGGTCGTGACAGGTATTGACCAGAAGATAAATGTGAATGGAGCAGGGGCTCACCGTGTCAGAGCCCAACACAATGGAATGTCAATAAACTTTGACTGTAAATATGAGTAGGTATACTTTCCTTAAGTAATGAGTCATACCATAGATAACATGATTCATGTTATCTATGGTCTTACTTATGTGGCTTATGCGCATTGAAATGTCAAAATGTCGTCTTTCAATTGGCCATGCTCAATGCGGCGCCTGCAAGCCGAGAAACTCTGTAGCCCGCGGAAGATTGTACGAGTAATGGGACTTGAATGGTTTTTAGCACAGTTTTGAGAGACATTATGAATATAATAAGAGATATTAACCTTACTCTCATATTAGCCAAAAGATATAAAAATTATATTTTATATCTTTTGGCTAATATGAGAGTAAGGTTAATATCTCTTATTATAGAGTAATGGGACTAATGAGACTAATGTGACAGTCACATGGCTAATGAGACACAGAAAAATTACTGCTTGGTTGCCTGGGGATGAAGATCACACAATTCCTCGTAAAGTGAATTACGAGTAGGTATCTATTTAAATGCGTCACTGTAATGAATGCGATACGAATGCACGTAGATGTGGATATAAAAAGCAGCCCAATCGCATTCCGCCGTAACATAACGGCGAAATCGCGGGCCTGGCTGTCTGACCCGTTGAAAACATGTGACGCTAGCTTCCTCATTCCAGTCATTGCTATCGATTCCCTCGCTCAAACAGGGGTTTATCTATGGCAACCAGACCCAACAATCCTAAAACGCTGTTTGCCAAACCACCTCGAACTACGAGCAAATTCCATCGTAGCTTACACCTGCTGCTCCTAAGCGTGAATGAAAACGCACCTCGCCCTGCGACCGGTGCGTTCAGACCAACAACAATGCCACCACCCTTCTAATCAATACCCACACCATCGGAAATACGACACCGACACATCGCTCGCTCCCGCCTGCCGCCGCAGTCACGCAGTGGCGTAGTTTCCACACGGTGACGTAGGTAGGTGTTTATGACGCGGGCCCCAGGTATGTATGCGGGGCACGAACACGGTAGGTAGTTGTAGGCCGGTTTGGGGCACCCCGGGCAGCGACGGTTCAGAGTGACCTTCGAATGAGGGGAGCGCGGCGGGCGGGAGCGCCTGACTACCGCACATCAACAGAGCTGTGGAATGCCAGGACAGAAACGTGGGGACGAATATCGCTCAAATACGCACCTTTGGAACTGAAAGATGTCCGAATTTGAAGCTATTTTTTACTGAAATCCTTACACAGACTATCTTTCCAAATTTACAAATGTCTAACAGATCTACATAGCTAGGACCCAGGGTTGGCAAACGGTGCAGACATCAGACAGTGGACGATTGACTGAAGACGGTGGAATTGGGACACTGGACAGTTGATATCCAGTAGGTATATTAGACGGCCAGAACAGTGGACACTGGGCAGAAAAAAAAAACTGAACACTAAAAAGCCAGGACGGTGAACAACGCACGCCACACGTGACAGCGGACTGTCCCAGTATTCACAGACCACAGTGCTCCGTCACCAGTCTGCCAGCCCCTGGCTACCTGTCTGACAGCTTTTGGCAGTCGCCTTCTGCCCCATGTGGCTGACAGGGACAGAAGCCGCGGACCGCACACACACACAGGGAACAACTGAACGAGCGCCTTCCAGGGAACTGAACGAGCGCCTTCATCCTCGGACCAAGGTGTCCAAGGGACGGAGGTTTGAGGGAGAGTGGGCAAAGAGAAAGAGATAGAGAGAGAGGGAGAGAGAGACAGACAGACAGTCAGACAGAGAAAGAGGGTGAAAACAGAAGTAGAGATACAGAAAGAAGGAGAGGCACTGAAAGACGAGGAGGGCGCAGCACAGGGGATGAGGAGAGTGACAGGTGGAGGTAAAGAAAGTGTGATAGAGTAATGAGGGGATGAAGAACATGGTAAGGAGCGGAGAGAGTGACGAGGGGATGAGGAGCAGACGGGGGCGGGGCCCGGAATGTCGCACTCCGGAACTGCCACGCCCATTTGGCCGCGACCCCGCCCCCCCCCTCCCCGCCGGGTTGGCGGTCGTCCAGCTCTGAAACCCGCTACAACCGAGCCGAAACACGGCTCCCAGACAGCCAGTGACGTCATAGTGACGTCATAATGACGCTGGCGCCTCCTCTGGGCCCGGTTGACCGATGGGCTGACTCCTTGATGGCATCAGAGCGAGGATCAGGAGCGACCATTCATCCTAAGCCTCGGACCTCAGGTTGAGGTCATGGTGAGAGAAATAACAGACGTTTTTTAGGTGTCGAATTTTACTTATTGTGGATCATAGGCATGACGTATTTTTTCTGATAAAAAGAGCCAAAAGTTCTTAAAATTGGGCAGAAGTATCATCGAAGACATCACCAATAATGGACGTCTTTTTAAGGTCACCATGTGGGTTGAATTTAGAAGGTCACCAGGTGAGCCGTTGATAAGTTCGGAAGTCATACACGAGTGTAACCGAAATTGGGCCGCACTGTCAACACGCGCTGCTATCAGTAAACAATTTGACGGGCGCCTGACAACGTCCGACGTCGCCACCTGTCAATACATGCGAGCGTGATGGCAGACACTGAAAGGCTGGCAAAATTGCGACGTCATCAGCCGGCGACCAAGTGCGTCAAGCACAGAATGTTACTGCAAAAGAGGAAAAAGCAAGAAAATTGAATAGCTTTTGAAAATTGAGAGAATGAAAATGATAAGGGCCGAGCAAACGCGGATTCATGACGTGTGCATTCACACAAACAAAGAGGGTGCCTGAGCCTTGAGAGTCAAGCAAAGAGCAAAAAATATGTTTTTATCCCACAGTAAGAACGAAGTTAACCATGTCAAAAGCGTCTGTAATTTACACGTGTGTAAATGCTCTCGTGTACGAGAGCAGTGTCGCTGTAACTACGCGCACAATTCGAGGAAAACAGGACGCGTAAGACTGGGTTTATGTTTTTGAAACTGGTTCTACAGTTTTATGTTGTCATCTCGAGTTCTGACTGCCGACATAAAATAAATACAACTGGCTTCAAACAACGAAACACATACCGTTAAAAACAGCAGAAATATCTACCTACAGCAGAAAACATACCGTAGTCGGTCGCGGCTGAAGGACGTGGTTCTATAAACCACGTCCAAGTGTTTCGAGCGAGCAATGGCCTACACCTGCACAAACTTCGTCAAATAGTCGGCAAGTTTCTTTTTTTTTTCTCTCTCTAAGCGTAAATCAAAAAGCATGCTCTGGTGGCGGCAGTGTGACCTAAAGCGCTTGCATCTTGATTGCACTTTGAAATGTCTATAAAAGCAAATGCTGTTCAACAAGGCTGATCATTTTATAGCTGAGCTGAAATCGGACATTGCGTGAAATAAGCCTAGATCCTACTCACCAACTTCACACAGTCCATCACGTGCCCTACCCCCCCCCCGGTCCCCCTCTGCTCTCCAGCCACCAAAAGGGCATTCCACTCGTACTCTGACACACACCTGGGTTAGAACACACATCCTGACGTATCCCGACGAAGCACAAAGCTCATCAGTTTCTCTGGCCATACTGTGTGTCTAGCCCGTTCAACCAAGCCGCGTTACCGACTCAGTCTGGTCAATCCGTCGATAGGTGCATTATACGGATCCGTATATGTACCGAGCGTTTCCTTACGGGTATCCACAGCTCCGTGTTATTATTTACATATCCATGGTATGCAGAGAGGATTTCAAAAAACGCTGATACGCAAGGCTTCATGTGCATGAAGCAGGTAGGCATGGACATGTCAATGTACTGAATAAACTATGCAATACATATGTATTTAATATACAAATCGACCTAACGACCTAAAATACAATCTGATATCTACCGAACTATCCGCATAATTATCATGATGGATCGTAAGTCATAAACCGTGCATCCACTACCATTGTACGCCTATATCGTATCAATGCGTCTCCAGTGATCAATTGCAGCTCTACGCATTTATGTTCAACGAATGAGCATGCACGTGCACAATGCGAGACAACATATCGAACCAGAGGCGGATCCAGCTCAGAGTTTTTTTTTTTGGGGGGGGGGGGCAAACCATAACAATTTATCGATTCTTTCCATGCCTCGTCCATAGGCGTAATGTTAAAATTATGCCGTTTGGGGGGTGGCAAATGCCCATTTTGCCCCCCCCCCCCTGGATCCGCCACTGTATCGAACCTGACGAACGACGTTAAAACAGCACAAAACTGAAGATAATTTTCGGTCCATTAAAGTCGATTTTAGTTGCAAAGTGCAGCTGAATAACGGAATGCGATGCAAAAGGTTACTAATGAATAATGATGCACGATACTACCTAAACCTCTCTCGTCCCTGGTTTTGAGCCGTCGCTGTCTGTTCCATAAAAGTAGCCAGAGCGTTTCGCCAGTCCCTGATCTCCCGGCCACAGCTTCGACAACCTGAACCGAGAGCACACAAATAGGAAAACTTAGCCTGCTCCGTCCAAAACACCACACCTACCGTTTTCTCTCCGTGATGATTGTAGCCCCGATGACAGTGCTGTCAGCAGGCAGAAGTGACAGCAGTCCGGGTGACAGCTGACACAGATGACACCTCCCCCCGACTCTGACAGTCGTCCTGCCACTAACAGCGGCAGCAGCAGCGGTACCCGCACCGGCCCGGGGCCGACTGAAGACTGCCGCCAAGGCCCTATATACCACTGCCGCACCGACCGGCCGACCGGGCCCGTCCCAGGCGACCGCCGCGCCGCGCCGCGCCGCTGCCGCCGGCGATGGACGGTAGACGGTAGATGGTAGACGGTGGAAGGTGGGGGATGGTGGGGAGGGGGACGGTGGGCGGTGGGGAGTAGGGGTGTTGTATGGATGGTGGACGGTGGACGGTGGGGGGGGGGGGAGCGGTCTGTGGAGGGGATGGATGGTGGACGTTAGGCGGTGGAAGGACAGCTGCAGTGGGAGGGGGACGGTGGACGGTGGAGGATAGGGGAGGGGGGTTGGATGGTGAATGGTGGACAGTGGATGGTGGGCGGTGCACACAGAGAAAAATTTACCCCTCTATGTAGAAGATAGACGGTGGAAGATTGGCGGTGGACGGTGGACAGTGAGTGGTGGAAGGACATGCGGTGGGAGGTGGACGGTGGACAGTTGTAGACGGAAGACGGTGGACATTGGTCGGCGGTGGACGGTACACGGCGGTAGGAAGACGGCAGGCAGGCGGTAGGAAGACGGAAGAGGTGAACGGCAGACGAGATATGCCTGGTGGTAGGCAGCGTACTATACGGTCCTTTTGCTGGGAAGACGAGCAATGGGTTATACCTACTGGGAGGTATAACCCATTGCTCGTCTACAGCACATGAACTACAATCAGCACTCAACAGATGTGGCAACACATCAGTTGGTCCAGATCAGGTCGCCTACGCTTTTCTCAAAAATCTCCCTGAATCTGGACAACAAACCCTCCTGGAAACTCTAAATCGCCTTTGGGAAAACAATTCGTATCCTGCTTCCTGGAGCGAAAGCACCATTATCCCTATCCTTAAACCTTCTAAACTCCCCTCAAACCCTTCTAACTATCGACCTATATCTCTCACCAGTTGTGCCTCTAAACTAACAGAAAGAATGGTTAACGGACGAATTAGGGCGTATCTCGAATCAAACAATCCTCTTTCTACTTACCAACACGGATTTCGACCTGGTCGGTCAACTGCTGATAGCGTAATTCACATAATTGACACAATTCAAAGAGGATTTCAAAGAAGGGAATACACGATCGCCGTCTTCCTTGATTTCAAAAACGCCTTCGACAGAGTCAATAAATCTGCTCTTCTGATTAAACTTCATCGAACCGGTATTCGCGGTCACATGGCGAACTTTATACAGAACTTCCTTGCTAATCGAACATTCAGAATCCGTTGTGGCCACACCTACTCTCCACTCTTTACGCTAGATCATGGCCTCCCACAGGGCAGTGTAATTTCTCCTACTCTCTTTTTGATCATGATCAATGACCTTTTCAACAACACACCCAGCAATATACAACACTCTCTTTACGCCGATGACGTAGCCTTTTGGGTTTCTCATCGTGATCTTGATCAAGGCATAACAATCATGCAACTCGTTCTTGAAAAAATAGAAACATGGTGTAATCAATGGGGACTCGTCCTCTCATCAGACAAATCAAAATCGGTCATTTTTTCGAGACGACTCCCCAAGACCAATCATCGTAACCTCAGAATCAACAATCGTAATCTTCAATTCGTTTCACACTTCAAATATCTAGGTATAACACTTGATTCCTTGCTTAATTTTAGTAAACACTTCGAAGACATTCAACAAAGATGCGCCAGACGACTTTCGATTATGAGATGTATAGCTGGCAGGGAGTGGGGAGCCGATCGGAGAACCCTCCTCCGCCTATACACCTCCCTAATTCGTCCTATCCTGGATTACAACGGTTTCTTATACGATGATAAAGCCACTAAAAAAATTGATTCTCTCCAAGTGATTCAGAACACCGCTCTTCGTATCATCACCGGTGCAATGAAAACTTCAAATATTGACAATCTTCACATTGATGTCAATATTCCTACACTTGATCGACGCCGCTAATATCTTCTTCTCCGCTTTTATCTTCGTTGCTGCGCGAACCCCTCGAATCCCTCTAATCAAATACTTACAAATTGATATTCTTCGTCTCCTCCAAGTGACCCTGAAAGGAGATTCCCAGTGATCAGTTATCGCGTAGAGAAGGCTCTTAATCATTTCAACATTTCTTTCCCGTCCATTTTGCCTATCCCCCCTCTAACCTCTTTCTGGCTGGCACCCATCCAGAATGTAGATCGTCTTTTCTCAGAAAATAAGAAGCATGTCTCCTCACAAGAAATCTCTCAACTCTTCATACAATATGTAAATCAATACAACGATCATACTTTCTTTTATACTGACGGATCACTATCAAATGGCAAAACAGGCGCTGGTGTTACATCAAAAGTCTACGAAAACTCCATTCGCCTGCATAATCTTTTCACGGTTTTTTTCAGCTGAACTATCAGCGATTCTGCTAGCTATTATCTATATAAATAAACAACATATCCAAAAAAGCGTAATTTGCACCGACTCAGCTTCGGCAGTCAGTGCCATCTCAAGCAGAAAAAAAGAAGACAATCATATAATATACATTATCAAGAAACATATAATTACAATTCAGTAAAAAGGATTTGAATTCCGCCTGTTGTGGATACCAGGACACGCGGGGATTCCCGGTAACACAAGGGCGGATCTCCTAGCGAAAAATAGCCTAGACAAACCGGAAAGAAACACACTTCGTTGTCCGCACAAAGATATTGCTAATCATATCCAAAATGCTCTTCTCGACCTTCGCCAATTCGACTGGAATAGTTTCCCAAATCAACATCTACACCCGATTCACCCAAAAATCAAATCATTTGCTTCTTCCAATCAAAGTAATCGTCTTAGAGAAACGGTATTGGCCAGGCTGAGAATTGGACACACCAGTACCACTCACCGATACATTTACCAGCACGAACCCCCACCCACATGCCCACATTGCACACCACTAACACGATTCAACATTGCCCACCTCCTTCTCAACTGCCCACACTACGACCAATACCGTCAACCCATCATTCACTACACAAACACACACAACCTCAGCCTGGACCTCCCAACGCTCCTGGGTGATGATCATCCAGATCTAATTGAACTTCTCTTTACCTTCCTCAGTGATTCGAATCTCATCAATAGCATATGATCGCAACCCAGCACACAGTATTTTGATGTTCTTATGATCTTCCATCGTCGTTTCCATCCGCTTCGTTTTGCTTCCATTCGCTCTCGTTCTCGTCGCCTTTTCCAAGTGTATACAGATATGTGTAAGCCGCCAGAGTTGAACCCCTAAGACGGGCGGGACATGGCTGGCGGCACCCGGTTAACACCGGCTGCCATAACCCGCAGAGGAGTCGCTGGACTGACCGGTTTTTATTTGGTCAGTCCGAGCACACCTCTTGCGTGCAAATCCACATACAATGCCACTCCTAGTGATATAACGTAACGTAATTAAAGAAAGGGCTTTTTACTGTGTACTTTGGCTGAAAGCACAGGTTTTTGCCCTCTTGGATAGGCACCAGGTTTTTTCTAGTTAGGACTTTTCCTGGTAAAGTTCACCCCACAACAACACACACCAAACAACAGCACACAAATCAGCAGCAAGTCTCAGCAGCAAGTTCTATGTAAGTAACCAAATTTATTGTCTCGCCCATCAGGCACCTTTCGGCCTTCCCTTTGCTTTGCAACCCACCGGACGCCACATGAGCCGGTTTAACGTAGTCTTTTGCCTTTGTCTTAGTTCTTGGGCCGGAATTAAATAGCCGGCATTAACGTAACGTAAACGGAAGACCTGGCCAATTGCCAGCTAGTAACTTTCCCCCTCCCCCGGCTATAGCCAATTGGCTTGCCGGGAGGACAAAAAAAAACCTTCTGGGAAATGGTCAGAATAGTGGCAGGCACCAACGCACGCAAAAACAAAAGGAATATGGCCCCTTGCTGCCTTTCATTGTCCTACCAAGCCTTTCGCTTTTGAGTCGCCGAATCGTTTTTATTGAACTTATTATTGTATTTTCCGAAGTTCCTAAACATATTGCAAATGGCAAAAGAAGGGTGGCGAGGTCGCATTAGAGAGGAGCTTGCTTATGGCCACAATGTTGCGATAACAGATCGCCAACATTTCTTTCCGTTTGACAGAAATTGAGAAGAAAATAAGAGAGCTGCATAGGTATTTACGGTAATATGCCGATTGAGGCCATACCTCAGGGACCCCATTACCTGTATGTTTAAGTGGTCGTTCAGTTGGTGCAGCTATAGCGAGCCTTATCTTTTTCTGAGGTAAGGTCACTTGACATGACCTGGTGACCTGCCCTTGAAGAACCCGGGTCTGAAATTTTAACAACATGTGCGGGAAATGTATGAACAGGTGTACCCAAAACGGCGTCGTGCGCGCCACCGTTTTTGAGATATTCGCGAAAAACTTGTGGAGGGGGAGGCGCGGGGGGGGGGGGCGTGCCTCCCTCCTCCCCAGCACGGCGGGGGTATGAATGTTTTTTATGCATTCCAGCCCATCTTACCTATGCATGGTTCTAGGAAACGTTTCCTGTTTCGTTGACTCTGCATTTGCCAGCATATCACTGCACAATGCACATGCCATCAAATGTCATATAAGATTCGGGCCTATACCGAAGCCAATGTGATTCGTTTGGTGCCATTCATCCGGCGCACTAGCTCTAGCTTCACTGAATTTATTACAATTTACTGTGCAAATTTCGGGTCCGTGACCCGACCTCTGTAGGTCAAATGGCTCAGAATTCACCGGATGGTCTCATGGATAGGTACCGTATTCTTGATCCTAAGGGCTTTTTCTAGTGTGTAGGGGAGAGCGGGGCCAGTTGAACCACTTTTTATATATTGACATGCACAGCGAGATTTAGTTGTCATATCGAAAAATGCGCAATACCATGAAAAAATATACTCTTTTGGCTTTATTTTAAGATATGTAAAATTATGTTTCAAACATATTTTGCTGCCAAACGCATGCTTATAAAACAGCTCTACGCCCGTTTCAAATGACCCCGATGCGAGGGTCAATTGAACCAGCCCATGGGGTCAATTGCACCTATCCTTAACAATGGGATGTTTTCCTCTTTAAGACCACTTTCTTAAGGAGATATTTTGTCCGGTTTACTTTTCCAAATGCTTCATTCAATAGGTCGTTGGAAAGCTAAAAGTGCAAAGTTCCTCATAATAGGTGACATAAAGCACATAGACTATGGTAAAATGGGCAGATGAGGAAAATGAGAAATATCTCAGGCTATAGTGTGCTTTCAAGCAAAAGGCTGGAGAATAAGGGGTCAAAAATTGAGCTCTATTAAACTACTATTTCAGTTTAAAAGCTCATTTCAAAGGAAGACTATTTCCTTTAACCCTCGCCGGACCTATTGGTTTTCTACATACGCGCCGGCCGAGGGGGGGGGGGGCGGGTACGACCCCCCCCCTCGCCGTTTCGCCCCTGGTGGAGCTAGCGCGTCGCGGAAAAAACGAGCGTGTGCGCCGTTACGAGACGCAGAGATTGGTACCCGATTTTAAGGTCCTAGGTCAACCGGTGACCTCTGAGGTCAGGTCAAGTGCCCCAGGGTACGGTTCAGTTTTTGGTGAATAACTTCGCAAAAAACGGCCGCAGAGCGCCGATTTTGGCAGCATCGTGTTCGTCTCGCTCAGGCGCGTCGAATGATATACTTTTTGTCCGGGTCAGGTCAACTTGGGGTGTTGACCTCAGGTCAAGGTCAGGTCAGCACCCCCAGGTCACGAAGTTGGTCGAAAGAGGTCAAGTCGCATATCATTCGATTCGGCAGGTCTTCCAGAGTCCATTGGTGGCTTTCCCGACTCGCTAGCTCAATTTGATCAAGAGTTATTGACGAAAAACTAATATGACCTTGATGACGTCATAAATGACGTCACGCAAGGTCAACATTGCAAAAGTGACGCATCTAACCTTGCAAGGAGTGCATCAAATCACGATTCTGTGTGCTTGAGATAGTTGGAGATCGTTCCCGGCGCCAGAATAGCAGTTTTCATTTTTCCCCATTGACTTATTATGGTGAGGTCACGAAAATGACCTGACCTCATATGACCTTTAGGAAAAATCCGAGATATACAAGTTGTGGGACTCATAATGGATACTAGATCCTGAAAGTTTCATTTCCCTGTGACATCTCCTCTGGCAGTGAGGGCGTTGCGAAGTTGCGACATCTGAAGACCGTGCAGAGGTTCACTTATGACGTCATAGGTCAGTGACCTGACCTGACCCAAAAATGCGGTTGGTGTCAAAAGATGCGGCTTGGATCAAAGGTCAGGTATGCCAAGTTTCAGCTCTCTATCGCCAGCGTGTTCGGAGCTATCGCGAAAAAACCCTATGGGGGGGGGGGCGGCACCCGCCCCCCCCCCTCGGCCGGCGAGGGTTAATGTTTACAGCCCCTGAACAATAACCATTGCAAAGGTCACCGGGGTCCATTGAATCGGCCTGTGGCCCTGTTTCAACTGACCCTCAGAGAAGCGTTTCAATTGACCCCATCCACTCCCGCCATCTCGCACGCGCCGTAAAGCACATGTCAAACGAGCTGGAGGGACGGCATCATGCTGAATGAAGGGCCAAATAAGGTGTTATTCCGGAGCCAGGAGTTCTTCTTTCAGCAAACAAAGGTATATGAGATATCACAAAATATTCATAAGAACGATTTCTCCCAAACGCCCCTCAAAAACACAAAAACAAGTGTCAAATCAAAATTACCGTCCGTTTGCCGCCCAAACGCCGTTGTCAAAGGAAGTGGTCGAGCGCGGATGCGCAGTGGTGTCGGCAACGCCATATGTTGCATACTGTTGAAAATAAAGCCATGTTTCATCTGACCCCGTGTTTCAACTGGCCCCGCTCTCCCCTACCAAAGTCCCAAGCCGGTGACAGTTCGGTCCGAAATGTCTCAAATCTAGGCTAAATCTGGTCTAAATTTGGGCTGAAATGTCTGACATTGGCTATTCACCACTGCGTCTCGCTGCCATTCAGACCCCGTGTTTCGTCACGGGTCACCGCCCCTCAGTGTGTTGTGGTCCTGCCTAATTCTGAGTCGCTACCCCTACGGAGTACGAGTGGGGGACCCAAGTCTCTCCCCGGGATCTACGGACGCCAGTTGTGGTTCCTCCTGCTGAGCGGTTACTACATTTGACTGCAAGGCTACAGGACCTGGGTCGCCACTTGAAAACACGTTCTACGAAGTCGTACGGTCATCTGAATTGCATGAAGGGCCTGATGAGAGGACTCCTGTATAGCTACACGTTGCAAAGGATACCTATTCTTTAATCTATTTTCACAGTGTTGACTTGTGGATCACACATCGTGACATGGAACGTTTTACTTATAATGTGAGTGGGATATGATGCTCTCTTCACTTGATGACGACTCACGAGCCGGTTGAGGTTCACCTAGGTCGTCTGAGCTATGATTTTCATAAATTGCTTCGTCACTAGACAAGCCACTGGGACAGACGACAGGTGATAAACTAAACACAACAGAAATATTAATTTAAACTAAGCCAAACTGCCAAAAACCAAGCGAATACACCGCGGCTCCACTCATACGAAACTAGCCCCGGAACCGACTGAGGTTTCCACAAAAAGTGGCTATTTTGGTGCGTGTTTGGTTTGACGGAAAAGCTCGGTTCATTCATAGCCGGCGGGTGAGTCAGGGAGACTGAGTGTCGGCTGTTGCCAGGCAGGTGTTGAGGCTTTTGTAACTAGCGAGCTGGGGCCCCAGCCCGGTTCATGGTCTCGTGGAGTCGCGATATAGCGGACCATGGATGGTCCCGGGTGGACCATGGATGGTCCCGGGTGGTGGACCTTCCCTGGTCCCGCATGGTTGGCGACTGGTGGTCCAGTCCATATTCCTGACGTCGATTTTGATTTCTTCCCATGTCGCATATGATGCTCATTTCAGCAGTTATTCAGCTGACCAGTCAGCATAATACAGTCATAGATTCTGTGACGATCAGTCTGTTGAATGTCATCTCTTACCACTCCCGTCAGCCCCCGATTCCCGGAACCCTCTCCCAGACAACACGCACTCTGCACAGTTCCGCCTTTTATTGATGATGATGTAATCGTTTGTTTGTAATTGCTGTAATTACACTCGCTCGCTCGCTCGCTCCGCGCCGCCGAGACCTACAGGGAAAGAGAGGGACAGAGTGTACGGAATGCTCTGCTACTCTCCCCTCCTCGGACCGCGACGGCCGCGCCCCTGGCGGACGACCGGCGAACCACGGCCAACCGCCCACACACGGCCCAGCCGCTCTCACGCGCACGCACACAGACACACACCGCTCGCACTCACAGACTTTGAGAGAAGACCAGCGAACACGCGCACACAGGCGCGTACACGCATCACCCGCGCACGCACACACACGCATACATACACCCGCACAGGCGCTCTGCCAGCCACGCAGACAATTATTAGGCAAATAATGTGGGCAACACAATTGTTAAGTGGTCAAAACAATCGTTTAATGTTTCTAGATGGCCCGACGCCGGCCAGCGACCCGGTCTTTGGACGGGCCGCCCGGCGCGCCGCGTAGCGGCAGCTCGGTACAACAGAGCTGCTGCCGCCCCCCACAGGTGGCGCTAGCGTCCGCCGCCGCCGCCGCCACCGGCCAGCCGGCGCCGGCACACGTAAAAAAGCACACACGGGGCGCACTCGCACGCTAGTAGCTCACTCTCAAATCAGGCACTTTGACGCCGGCCGGGTCGGGCGGCGGCGGCGGCGGCGGGGGCGGCCCTCCATCACAGACCGGCCTGCTCCGCCGCTCTCTCCGCTCCTCCTCCCGCTCTGCCTCCTCCTCCTCCTCCGGGACTCAATATAAATAGGGCGTGTCGAGGCACCGGCCGCGCCGCGCCGGCCGCCGCCGCTCGGTGGCGGCGGTAGTGGCGCGGCGCGGCGGTGGCGGCGCGTTCAGCGGCGCGGGGCCGACTGGTAGCTACCACCGCGGCCGCCGCGCGACTCTCCACGGCCGTAGCCCCGTCCGCGCGGCGCGCCCCGGCCGTAGTAGCCGCGGCCGCGCCCCTCGCCGGGCCGGTCGCCGCGGCCGCGCCCCTCGCCCGGAGGTCGCTGCTGCTGCTTCCGCTCGATGTTGAGGCGGTGCTCCTCGTCGCCGGTCCGGGACAGCTTCACCGGCTGCGGGAGGAGGAAAGACAGCCAGACGCCGAGGTCAAAACACGACGCTAGAGACTGAGGGTCTATCATCAATGTGGGTTATTGCTGGTCCCAGTCGGGTCCAAACGATTTTGTTCTCCTTTACAAATTTATACGCCGGCATCTGAAATCTCTTAAATTGCCAGCTTGTTTGATGAAAAACTGTTATTATTACGCCTAAAACATGCAGTTATAGCATTGAGAGAACACATTTATCAACAGTCAAATTTAGTACTCCAATCCTATGATTTTCCTGCTGAGTGTTTTAAAAGCTGACCGGTTCTTCGGCCAGATTTTATTCTCCGGGACCAGGACTAAAATTCACAATTCCAACATGGTCTGCCCTAGGATCTGGGACAAACGAACGTCGAAAGAAGTCAAACGAAGCGGCATATGAAAAGGCCACCATCAAAGTTTTCAGAGGGTGGCAAGGCCACGAGTTACAGGACCCAGATGATCAAAAGTTTAAAGGTGTGTGCCACCTCCCAATGATTTCCCATTTTATTTTTCCTAGGATAAGAAGCTTCTGTTTTTACCTAATATCGCAAAAAATCAAAAATGGGCCTAAAATAGTGCTTTTTTCGCCTAAAAGTTTATCGGTTTTTCGATATGTATAACAATTACTGTAGTGGGCTGACCTGCAAACAGGCGTCGGCAACAATCGCGAATGCGGCGCACATGTGACAATAAGCAAAGGTCATTATAGAGTTACGACGTACGGGAATGAGTTATCAGCTGTCTAATCGTAGACAACACAATGTCGAATTCAAACTGTAAGCCTGTATTGGTATTGTTTCTTTAATTTGGCTGTCGAACGTTAATTTATGGTTTGAAATATTATTTTATGTAAAATAATTGATATGAAACAGCCGTCTCTAAAGTTATGACCCCATCTCACCACATGAAAGTGGCAGAAATGACAATGATCAGCTGACGCATTTTTCTTGGCCGAAGTCAGAGCGCGCGGCCCGACGCACCACCACCGCACCACAAAGTATGAGCAGAAGCCACCTGCGGTAGACCGCGCCCAAAGCCAGGGCCCCGGTAACGTGAGGTAGCCGAGTCGGGGCAGCGTGCGCTGACCCAAGCCGGGGCCGCGGCTTTGGGCGCGGTCTACCGCATCCCGGCCGGGCAGCCCCGGGCTATCACATGACACCGGGAGGACGCGCGGCCCCGGCTTGGGTCAGCGCACGCTGCCCGGCTCGGCTACCTCACGTTACCGGGGCCCTGGCTTTGGGCGCGGTCTACCGCACCACCTAACAGGCGTGTTCGAAACCGCAGGAGATGATGATGAACGGGTTTATCGAAACTTGATTGGATGAGCCTATCGGTAATAGCGATTTCAGTGTGTGCATTTATTGTTCATAGTGGTGTGAAATGTGGTTGGGGTACGACCGACAACCCGTCGGGGCGAATTTCGCACTGGGGTACTCAAAATTTGAAGAATTTAAGACGTTTCCATGAGTTTTGAAGGTATGGATAAGTTCTAAAAATCCGGTTCTCCTTATCTGGGCCATTAACTCCATACGGTCCAGGAAAGCTGGCACACTACCTTTAACCCGCGTCCGGCTGGGGGTCCTGGATTTCCACGCCCTGCTGGGGGGGGGGGGGGGTGTTTGAACACCCCCCCCCCTTGTAACTCGGCTCCTGGGCCACGTAGCGATACGCGGAAGGCGGCGTTCGAAAGAGCGTCAAAAATAATGACGAAATCACTTCGGTCAATTTTTTGGTCAGGTCAAAGGTCAGGTCACCAGAGGTCATTGAAGGCAAAATTTCGCCGATTTCCAGGTTGAATGTCGAAAATTTCCAAGAAGCCGACGCATAACTCGAGAACCAATAGAGCTACAGCGCCGCGGAAAAGCGCATTCGATAACCCTATTAAAGCCCTTTCTGAGTAATTCTCTCAGATTTGACCTAACGTCAACGGTTTTGCCTGCAGGGGGCAAAAACTGCAAAAATAGCCGATTTTTTCGGAAACAGTTTTTCTGCAATAACTTTTGACCCAAGCATTTTACGACCTTACTTTTACCGGCATTGTGTTCCTCTCGTCAAGACGCATCGAATGAACTACAAGTTGACCTTGAAAGGTCAACTTGAAAATTTGACCTCAGGTCAAGGTCATGACCTGACCGGAAAGGGTCATGTTGCATATCAGTCGATCCGTATCGTCGGCCTGAACACATCTAAGGCGTTTTCATCGCTCTAGCATGCCTCTATCAAAAGTTATTTGCGAAAAACTGTTAGATACCATTCGTGAGCTAAGATGACCTCAGGGCATAAACAAGGGTCACGGACACCATTTTCATGTTCAGTGTGTCTAAACCACTTGTAATTCGGTGTTTGGGAGTGTTCATAATGTCTTTTGTCCAAAAGAGGCGCATTTCAATTTTCTCCCATTGACTTATAATGGGGAGGTCGCAAAATTGACCTGACCTTAGGTCATCGATATCAAAATTCTGAGATATACATTTCGTACATGCTATTGCTCTTAGCAATCGCTGAAAGTTTCAAAGCGATCGGTCACTCGGTGTAGCTATGACAGACATTGAAACTTTTTATGAGGTGAGGTCACTTCAAGTGACCTGACCTTGAATGACCTTGGTCTGAAATTTTCACAACATGTGTAGAATTGATGTATGATAAGGTGTACTAAAAACGGCGGCGCACCACAAGGGGGGTGTTCAAACACCCCCCCCCCCCCCAGCAGGGCGCGGGTTAATAAACGCTTAGTGACATGATAGGTCGTAAGTAAATGTGTGAGTGGGATGCGTGCGGGCACGGGCAGGATGCTGATCACTCTCTGGATGTGGCATTTCCAACCTCCCTGGCAATCTTGCCCTCCCTAGCTGTTCCACCCACCCACTTAGAGGTGCTGCAGACTTCTCTTCACTTTCAGCTTCCTTAGCAAGCCTCATCCCAGATGGCAAGTTGTGCTTAGGAATACCACAGCGCCGAACCTCCCAACTTCAAGAATACACTTCCAGTGATCATTCCAAATGTGTGTTTCCAGCCTCTATGAACGCTCCCTACGTGCGTTCACCCAAAATTTGTCAATTTGGGTGGAACAAGACTTCCAAATGAAAATAATTTTCCACTCCCACCTCCAACTTTCAAGAGCAGTTTACCACCCATGAAAGAGCATCTGCTTGCATGATCACACCAGATTCTACCATTGCTTGTGCAGAAAAATGTAATCTTTCCTCCTTCTGTTCTTTATTTTCGGGGGGGGGGAGCTAATCTTATCAAGAATATACCACCCTCATATTCCTTTTTTGGAGAGGAAATTTCCCCCCTAACACCCAAACATTAATATAATTTTGTGACACTGCTACCGTCCCTGGGCTCGGGACTCACTAGGTTCTGATGCTACCACTGCCGGATGAGCCCACCATCTCCTGTAGAACCCGCGGTAACCCCCATCATTTGACCCTGACCATCCCCTTGCAGTAATTCCGTCGGCGATCTACTACAATCAACTCACTCGACCCTCTACTCGCCCAACTACTCACCATCTCATGGAGAACACGGTTAACGGCGGCCTGCGAGTCGAACACGACGAATCCGTAGTTGGGGTAGGTGCGCGGCGGGATGCCCTTGGCCGGCGGCTTGCTCGTGTGGATCTTCACGCCCACCACCTCGCCTGTAAGAGAGAGTGGAGAGAGAGAACGGGGGAGAGTAGGGAGTCAGAACAGGGTACTTTGTGTTCGGAGGCGGTTACTGGGGACACCAGTTACCAACACGACCCTTGGCACTGGAGGATGCGTTACTATCCTATTCTTGTCAATCTAAAACAGCGTATCCCAGGGATGCTCACCAGAAAGTTACAGTTTTTCGCAGAGCAGAAGCTGCTATGTGGCAAGAGCTAGGTGGCAATGGACATACAAAGCTCGAAATGACTGCTGTAAGGGCAGCGAAAAACATCTGCAAAGCTGGCGGTAACGGATTGTAGCAGCTAAGTCATATATCACCAAGCTGAAGCATTCAGAATATCAGCTTCCTGACAACTCATAACCTCGCTAACACATTTCACATCACATTCTCTCCGTAAAACGATGGTCAAACTGTCCACCACTCGTCTGTGTTTATCCTCTGCAAGTCTGACTATTAGTATCCCAGCCAGTCTATGATCTAATACCCCTTCCTCTCATATCTGCCCTAATATCTCCCTCCCCGCCATATTCGCTCACCGAAGGAGCTGAAGTGTTCGGCCAGCTCCTCCTCCCCAATATCCTGCGGCAGGTTGCCCACAAAGATCTGCTGGTTGTCCGGCTGCGTGTAGCGGCGCCGCTCCCCATCCCCTCCGCCCAGAGTCGCGCCCGAATCTGCCGGCTCCGCGCGGGAGGACGGCGGACGGGCCGAGGAGGGCCCGGTGCTGCCAGAACTGGGACGGGCTGCCGGAGGACGAGACGGCGGAGACTGGTCCTGTGGAGAGGGGGGGGGGGGTCAGTGAGGTCTGGGGGCAGCTGACGGCGAGCGATGGGTCAGGGGGCGGAGGCTCCAAATTGAAGAATTGAAGATGCTAAGAGGCTGGCAAAAGGTGGTAAGAGATGAAAAAGAGACAGCAAAACGCGAAACTAAGCTAAAGGCGAAGGAAATTATTGGATAGACAAGAGCACAAAAATGCGTACGAGGGGGACGTTACGCCGGGTCAAACGCGTGAACAAACTACTGTGAACCAGACAAGGCATGAACCACCACCTTTAGCTAACAATTCAGTCGATATTGATGGGCGTCCTGACTCAACACTCTCGATATATTGAGCGTGTATTGATGATATGAGATCAACATCCTGACTCTAATGACGAATCTCCCTCTCCCTCCCACACATCCGTACCTTGTCAGCGGGCGCGGCGGCCGGTGTCGGGGCGGCGGCCGGCGCCGGGCGCGGAGCCGCCGGCCGGCCAGACGAGGCCTTGAACAGGTTGGCGTACGTCTTGGGTTCGTTGGAGACGGGCGGCGGGGACGGCTGGCGGGGCGGCGGCGAGGGCTGGCGCGGCGGCGGCGGGCTGGCCGCCGGCGGCTCCTCAGGCTGTTCGGCCGGTTCCTCGGCCGGTGGCGGCGACACGGGCGGCGTGGGCTCCGGCTCGGCCGGCGCCGGAGCGGCCGGCGCAGCAGCGGCGGCGGCGCCGTGACCGTTCATATGAGCCGGCTGGCCGTACGGAGCGGCAGCGGGCGCGGCGGCGGAAGGCGCCGGCGGCTCGGCGGCCGGCTGGGCGGCGGCGGGAGCGGGAGCGGGAGCCGGGGCGGGGGCGGGGGCGGCTGGCGGCGGCACCGGCGGCGACTCGGGCTCAGCCTCGTCATCAGCCTCTGCAGCGCCGTCACCGGCGTCCTCGTCATCGGAGAACAGCTGACGGGGGACGGGACATCAGAGATCAGAACTCCGGTGACGGGTCGAGTAGTACAGAGCGAACAGTGACACACAGAGGGCACATCGACAACACAGCGACACAGGGGCAAGACAGCGGGATTAGAGACGCTACTAGCTGCCTGCTGGGAGCCTCCCCCGTTGGGGAATAGAATCAGTTCAACGCGTTACGCGCTCCTAATCAAACGTCCCACACACACGTCCAGGCCAGCTCCACTACAAGCAAACAACTTGCGAGCGAGTTTCCATGGCCTTATGAGCCAAGTTCACTCCAACCACCACATTCCGAGACCAATTCAGCCTTCTGTTCCTCAGACTCCCTCAAAATTAAGACAGGTGCCCCAATTGCCCCGCAAACCCTCAAAGCTCCCTCCCAGCTCTACACCTATCACGATCTTCTCCCATCCCGCATCACCATCCTCTCTCCAGCCCTGACACCGTTCTCCCGCCTCTCTCTCTCTCTCTCTCTCTCTCTCTCTCTCTCTCTCTCTCTCTCTCTCTCCCTCTCTCTCCACCGTCACTCACATCGTCCTGATAGCGGAAGATGTCGTTATAGACGTAGTAGTTGTGGGTCGTCTGCGGCGCCAGCACGAAGGTCTGCATGAAGGGCCGCATCGGCGCACCGTTGTTGGACAGCTGGCCCGACACCTGGCGGAAGGAGCGGGAAACAAGACGGGTTAGCTGGGGGAGTGGGGGCGACGCCAGAGGCTAGAGAGGGCTGAGCTTTGAAATGCTACTGTAACACATTATTGACTGCCAGGCAGCACTGGTTTTACGATTGGTAACATTTCAATGCTCATATCCCAGAGGCTGCGCGCTTTGCAAGCCTTATCGTAGACCGATTTGTAGTACAAGAATGTTACTGAGTAGGACATGCCAAACAGCCTTCGATCTTACTAGAATACGCTCTCTGAAGTTGTACTATCACGACATACATACTCACACGTAAGGCAAGTCTCGAAAGTAAAATAAGAAATTACTGCCAATCGCAATAATCTAGCACCCTTTACATTTACCCAACCCTGCACAATCTATCATTATCAGCGATGGCCCAGCCGACGCCTATCTGGGAGCACCGCTGAGTCGGGAATTTCTCAAGCCGGCCGTAAGTTATGAACGATAGCTTCACTAAGCAGCTCTTCCAATCGCCGAAAGCAGACAAGTCAGGAGAGACATCGATCCCACAAGTGGGAGTGCAAAGGACCCAAAACAACACACTGTCCAAGACGGTAGTCGGGCCAAAACTGTCCGTGTTGTTTGAGTTGATCATATCTGATCCCTCATCGGTGATTCTTGCTGAGGCCCAATTCTCTCTCCCCCTAATCAGAAAGTTTGTGCCTTTATCGCTTCTCCACCAAGCCCCCAGAACACCTCCACTCCATTCCACTCACTCAATCACTCAATCACTCTCTCTCTCTCCCTCTATTTCCCTCCCCCCTCCTCTCTTTCCTCTATCTCACCTGGATTACCACTCCACCTCCCAGCGTCGGGTGGGCGTCCACCTGTTTGATTTTGGTGCGTGCGTCGCGGAACTGTAGTTTCTGGATGCGGTCGTTGATCTCCTTCTGACCCATAGCGGTCTTGGTTTCGGGCTTCTTACCGCGCTCCAGACCTCCGTGCACGAACTAGAGTCCTGGCTGTAGAACCTGAGACACAGAAGAGTGGTATATAGCCAGAGGCTGCAGGGACTAGGGAAAGTATACAACAAATATGGATATATAGGAGGGATCAAAGAGACGCATACCGAAGGACAACGACTGCAGAAACTGCATGGCAAACACGATGGTCAATGACAAGAGACAAAACGGACGTACGTCGGACAGGGACTGCAAGATACGACAACGCAAAACAAAGACGAAGGCAAAGGACAA